AAACATCAAATATCTTATTCACCAACGACTCCCGGCATCGAGGTTGCCATAAATTGCAACGAGCGTTTTTGTTTTTTTACTCGAAAATATTTTTTTAACTTTACATGTGGTTTCGTGCGCGTTGGTGGATTCCTGCAGCAGCGACGAACAATCAATTTGAAAAAATGGCTGATGCATCTCAGGGATCGTGTGACCGAACTGACAACATCGCCCAACTGACGCGTCAGCGAGTTCAGAGCAAAAAAAAGAAAGAATGACTGATGATTTACCGTGCACAGTCTATCTTTGCTTCCCTGATTATATGTATATACCTTTGCGGATGTAATCGTGTAATGCTGGAAATATCCGCATAGGGAATAAATATATAAATAAATTGCGAGTCACATGTACGATTTTTTGTCCGTCACGGCAAGTACATGTATACCTATGTCTGCCTAGGTCTGCCGTAGCCATGAATAATAAGCTTATTTATGCGTGACTCTGCACAAGAGCGTAAGTAGTAAGTATAGTCATCGCACTTTTTTTTTATCATGCTGCTATTTTTTATTGGCACATGGGCAAAAAATTGGCTTGTAAATTTTTATTGTTCAAGTGCAACAGTAGAGCACCAATGGAAATATATTTGCGTAACTTCGTGTAAAATGGGGCATGCGGTGCCGTACATATACCAGCTGCAGAGCTTGAATCTGTCCAAAAGCCATTTGGGAGGTGGGGGGTGGTTAAAATTTACACTCGTCTATAGAGTCACTTTTGACACTACTGATTTTCTCGTTTCAATCTAATAATGCTGAGTTGAGTTTTATTTATTTACTTACATCATATGCTTACTTACTTTTGATTCATCGGCTCGAATTTTTACAAAACCGAATTTGATTTACCATCCATCCCGTCTGCATTTTATCACCTCTTTCCCATATTTATACTGTCTGAATGAATCTTAAGTACTGCAGCGAATTTCGCGTATAACCAGGGGTTTTTCAATGTAAAAAAATTACCAGTACCATTGCTGATGTACACTATTAAATTGTTATAAACACAACGATTATCAATTCCTCGCGATTTGTCATAGGTGTTATACGTATGGATAAAAGATAGCAGAGTAAGTTGATAATATATGGCAACGAAATCTATGATAGGTCCAAGAGCACCCGTATAGGTATGATGATTATGAGTAATATACGAGCAATGAATTAAATCTTGCACAAAAGTACACAACTGTGTAAGTACAAGTACGCGGCTGCTCATAAGCGTATATAATATCATGTATACCCTTGAAAAAGGGTAAAAAAGAAAAAGCGCTCTCGTATCGTTGAGACAATCGAGCCACGGCAAAGTGATACCTAATCTCGACGTAATCGTGGCCAATGCTCCTCGTGCGCTCGCCAAAATACAAGCGCAAGTATTTATACGCAGTATAAGCATCAGGGGAGAAAAAAAAAGAAAAAAGTACGCACAAGTGTATAGGGTACATGTGTGTAGGGTATACTTGACAAGTAAGTATATGGTTGTATGGTATCGTGGATGATGGACACGTGTATATATACATATACATATACGTATGCGCGCAGCGTCTCTCAACAACCGGAGCTCGTAAATTAACGTCCAGTTCGTAGCCGCGCTCTTTTTCTCGCCCCCCCCCCCCTCATCTGTCCGCGGTGGGAGTAGTGCAGCGGCAACACTCCTCTTCATTATCCGCGCCATTTGTATTCGCCTCGCCAGAGAAAAGAGCTGGCCTAGCTCTACCTTCCTCTCCCGCGCCTGCAAGCTCTTCTTCCGGAAACTAATAAACTTTTTCCACGCCCCCCCCCCGCCTCCCTCTCGCCCGTTTTGTCATCCAAATTGCTCTCCTCCCCTTTCTTTTCTTCCCGCCGACCCCCTCCCCC